ATATGAATAACTATTTCAGAACAAATTCATATTGTTTAGTTTGGTTTATATAATAAAAATATATACCCAGAGTAGCTTAATATAAACTAATTTCTGTAAAATATTAAGTGAATAATAATTATTTTAAAAACCTACTAATTGATTATAAATAACATTCAGTCTTGCAAGGTATTTTAATACCGATCAGTCTGATTTGATAATCTCACCAACATAAAAGCAAGTTTTTATTAAATTACATTATATATTTATTGAGTATGACGTTTATACGATTACGACCCAAGTTTAATCATTTTTATTAATACAACAGAATTGTTAAATCTAGTTTACAGTAATATTATATTATGCCATATTCGTATTATCTACCTATTATCCCATGCAAAAGGGGCCGTACAACAATTTTTTTCTCTTCACGAGTCTTTATCTGGCAAAAGGTTCACTTTGGACTATAACCTTATAATGTATATATTGATTTATGTGGAAACTTGAAAATGAAATATGTGTTTGGTTCTAGTTATTCATGTAAGGTATTTAAACTACAAGTGTCATATGTTCCGTTATCTTGCTCTAATATATCCTTTAGGTACCAAATTTTGTTAATAATATATCTTCTAAAAGACAAGATTGAAGACAAAGCTTATAAGCTCCTACCTGTATTCTTCAACTACAGAATACATATGTAAGATGTGGTAAAACTAATTTATACTTGACAGCCAAATTCTGAAATCGTTAACTAATTTAGGTAAAAAGTAAAAATAATGTTTTATTTAAATAGTAATATAAACAATTTGAGGGAAATTTTAATAAAATTATTATTATTTTATACCAAATAATATTAAATTATAACATATACTTATATGATAGGTATATACTATAATATAATGTAATTTATTATGAATTTTACGTGTATAGTGTATACGATTTAAATTAGATAATTGATAAAGATCTAACTACAATTTGCAATAAAGATAAGAAACTAACTAAAGGCAATGTTTTTGATATTAAAATACGAAATTTCTCTTGGCGGGTTTTTGGTAAAATCGATGTTGGTACTATCTGTAGTATTACACATTTTATAGGTTATGTAACATTTTTTTCTTATCACGCGTTATCATTTTTTGGAAGAACTACCCCCAACCCC